TTGAATCGATCGAATATATTCATAACGTAGCGATGTCGGGGGAGACGATGTAGGAAGCGATGTACAGTATAGACGAGGCAGCGGCACTTAGACGCGACGCGTCTGCAATTCAGGGGCTCAGTTCCCTTATCCGGGGGCGATCTTCTCTCGGGCCGAGGCCAAATTCAAACTCAGTTGGCTCCCTGCCAGGGAGTCGACGAAATCTCCCAGTCTCCCAGATGCGAAGGCCCCCATGGCCTGTTGCCTCTTTAGGCACGCGTCTCGGGAGACTGGTCACAAGTCTACGTAAAACCTCCGATGGGCCCATCCGCTGCCGAACCCTTCTTCTTTCGCGCATATACGCTACCATCAATGACATGGCACCTGGCTCGATACGGCTGTTTGCCGCGGTCTCATTATTTACTGTAAAGCACGATGATTTAGTGCTCGTTCCCCATCTCCCTGTCTCTGACACCTCTTGCCGCTTATCATGATTCATCTGTTACCTCTCCTCATCCAGTGGGACACCTGTTCAGGCGATGGTGTTACCTTTGTTTCGAGTGCGCTGTTGCGCAAGAGTTTCAGTTTTCAGTATGCTCGTCGTCTTCGCGACTAAATTAGAGTTGTCCCCTCTTAGTATATATCCTGCCGGTGTATACCTCGTATTAAAAGTAAACCAACTTGAAACATTGTTTGATGCATTTAGGCATTTCACTATAAAGGATTATGAACGTTTAGCTAGCTTTCATGACGTCGCTGTTGCTGTTTCAATCCCAAGTTTGTGATCTTGCCGTTGTGGATAATTGGCATGAGCACGGTGAAGGGTGTTGGAAATATCTACTGTCATACCAGGAGCGCAGCGGTAGGACATGTCGAATGCGGATTGATGGTACTACACGCGAATGTACTAGACTCGTGACCAGTCTCCCGAGACGCGTGCCTAAAGAGGCAACAGGCCATGGGGGCCTTCGCATCTGGGAGACTGGGAGATTTCGTCGACTCCCTGGCAGGGAGCCAACTGAGTTTGAATTTGGCCTCGGCCCGAGAGAAGATCGCCCCCGGATAAGGGAACTGAGCCCCTGAATTGCAGACGCGTCGCGTCTAAGTGCCGCTGCCTCGTCTATACTGTACATCGCTTCCTACATCGTCTCCCCCGACATCGCTACGTTATGAATATATTCGATCGATTCAACTTATCATTACTGTCCGATAATGCTCGTCAATTGCTCGGTGAGCTCTCCCCCACCTTTGTCGAGAGCCTGACACCTCAGCAAGCCAAGACTGTCTTCAAAGCCACAGCCTGGTTCGATGCTCGGTATCTAGGCGAATGAAAACTACGTCAGTTTCAGATCGAGGCCAGTGTGAATATTATAGCTGGGAAGAACGTCGTAGTTCGCGCAGGAACAGGTAGTATGGCAAAACGCTTGCCATGATCCTGCCAATTCTCTTTGGTGATCCTTCGAAAATCGCGATCACTATCTCGCCTCTGAAACTCTTGCAAGCTAGTCATGTAAGTCTTTGTTTCGTCTAATCGATTATTATACTAAAGGGTAATCAGGTTTCAGAGTTTCAAAGTTTCGGCATCCCCACCATTCGAATAAACCAAGATACCCCGGATGACAAGAACCTCTGGAAGATATGTCTGCCACTTGTCTCTGCTAGATCGCTTGCTAATCTACACAGGATATTCAACTTGGAGTCTATCGCAACATCATATGCGCCACCAAGCAGTTTTTTAGATACGAAGGAGCCGTGTGAGGTCAAACGTCTCGACAAAAGTAGGTGTAGTTTCCCTGGTCGAGTTGCAGAACAGCTTCGAAGATGCAGCCGTCATTTCTTTCCCCATAATAGAAAGTATATGTGGCATCGAATCATCCTCAAGCTTAGACTTCAGCTTTCTCTTCCAGAGAGGAATATCTCCGAGCATGTTCCAGAGAAATTCGGGTGCCCTGCCGCCTAGAAATTGAGTACGATAAGGCACGAGATAGGCTGGCTGAGACTTCGCCTGTAGAATCATAATCAAGACATCTGTAGCTGACTTGCCCGCCTTCGAGAACAGCTCCA